GTGAGGCCTCATCTGGAGTACTGTGTCCAGTTTTGGGCCCCACACTACAAGAAGGATGTGGACAAATTGGAAAGAGTCCAGCGGAGGGCAACAAAAATGATTAGGGGGCTGGAGCACATGATTTATGAGGAGAGGTTGAAGGAACTGGGATTATTTAATCTGCAGAAGAATGAGGGGGGATTTGATAAACTGCTTTCAACTACCTGCAAGGGTTTCCAAAGAGGATGGATCTAGACTGTTCTCAGTGGTATCAGATGACAGAACAAGGAGCAATGGTCTCAAGTTGCAATGGGGGAGGTTTAGGTTGGATATTAGGGGGAAAAAAAATCACTAGGAGGGTGGTGAGGCACTGGAATGGGTTACTTAGGGAGGTGGTGGAATCTCCTTCCTTAGAGGTTTTTAAGGTCAGGCTTGACAAAGCCCTGGCTGGGATGATTTAGTTGGGGATTAGGTCCTGCTTTGAGCAGGGGGTGGGACTAGATACCTCCTGAGGTCCCTTCCAACTCTGAGATTCTAAAACTATATTGTGGACACTCAGGTGCAGGTTGGAGCCTGCACTCTGGCACTCTTCCAAGCCCCTGGGAACTGACAGCCCAAGCTTCAGTCCAAGCCCAGATGTCTACACTGCAATGTTATAGCCCTGCAGGACGAGCCAAGTGAGCCTAAGTCTGCTGACCTGGGCCAGCTACAGGTCTCTTATTGCAGTGTAGACATGCCTATAGGATTTGGCTGAACTAAAGAGAGTAGTCTCAGGGTTAGCCACCATGTTTTCTACCTTGACCTACCCATGAGAGTCTCTGCTGCAGTCCCATCTTAACACCTTTTGTCTTGATTTCGCCGGTCAAGGGATTAGCTAAATCAAGGTAAAAAGTGTTAATTTGCAGCTTCACTAAGAAAAAGGAAAGGCAACCTAACACGTGTGTGTTAGCCCCAACCTAACTTTGTCCTCTCTTCCTAATCTAGGCAAACCAAGCCGCTGCTCTGAAACAAAAGCCTTTTGCCTGTGGTTGGGCATATTCCACTGCCTCTTCCAAATAGCCCCTCCACAGCCCCTAACTCGGCTCTCTTCAGGTGTCAGCAGATGGAAAGCAAGCAGGGTGTGGAAACACGGAGTGGTAAGTTGTTGTGCGAGCCTGGCTGCGTTGCTGGAGGATGAGGGGCAGATAAAGTTCAGAGCTATTTACAGTCACCTCTGCAGCTCCCTCTCCTCTCTGTCATTTGAGAACATTACTGGGGTAACTCCAGCAGGGGCCACAGTAGGAAAGCTGTGAATTTGCTGCTGAGTGGAAGTAGGACAGGCAGATTGATGATCCCTGGGGAACAGGAGCAGGTGTGCTGTGGACCAAGAGAGATGCACCAAGGGGGCACAGGGTGAATCCTGTTGGAGAGCTCTGGAAGCCGCTTCAAGGACAGGCACTGTCGCAGCTCCTGTCTTCCTGTGGCAGGTGTGAGCCCCGGGGCTCTCCCCTGCCTGCTCTGTTTGGGGGCCAGGAAGGCACTAGGAATGGAAGGAAACAGGGCTATTTTCTCAAAGAAAAGCAAAGGGAGCAGGATGAGTGGCACTTAAACCATCTTTTCCTCTTGCTGTAATGGGCTGCCCCCTCCCAGTTAAACAGAAGCAGTGAATCCTCGGCCTTTAACAGCTTCCACCACTTTCAGATCCTTTCCAGTCACAAGCATAAACATTTATCACCCCCCTCACACTAAAGCTTGGGTGCCTGGCCCTCGCTAATACAAAAGCTACTTTCAGACCCAAACAGGCCCCGTCTTCCTTGAACTGGGATAGCAGGGAATGTGGTGTTCTCAGGTACATGCATTACTCCAATCTCTTTCCAACTGGGCAACTGCTATAGAGAACAGGGGAGGCAACAATGGTGCGAGTCTTCACTTACCGCTTCTGGTTGGGTCAAGGATACCCGGGTAAGTGCTCTGCAGGAGATCGGTCTAAGGAAGACACTGGGCCTGAAATTCATGACAACAGCCTGGCTTGGAGGGGTCGGATTTGCTCTTGGAGGAGGGGAAGCATTCTATTTAGATTGAGCGTTTCAGGGCCTGCATTCAACAACAACCGTGCTGCAGTCTGGGGGTGAAGGATGGATATAGAACCCCACACAAGTACTGTGGTGCAGCTCAGTACAAATAAGGAGAAATGGTGAGGTGAAAGGTTAGTGGGGGACAGACTGCTTCATAAGTTGAGAGAGGTTTGAGCTTTTTTAAAAGAAAAAATGCTGTGGCGAATCATGTTACTTCAAACTTTTCCTTGGATAGGACCATTGCCAGAGACGCTGTGTTTCACCCAAATACAGTATCTTTAGACAAAGGAGTGAAAAGCTTTCCTTGGGTCAAAGTCTAATAAATCCTTCACATGAGGTCAGTTTGGGGCTCCTGTCAGCCAACCAAAGCAGAGCACAGTTTAGTGCTTTCCCAAGTAAGCTCCCTCTCCCTGTCCATGATGGGACCAGACAGCACCCTTCATCCTAAAGTACATTTATAGCCACACCCAAGGTTATGGCATTGCACTTTGGCTGCACTGTCACACTGAAGGCAGCCTCAATTCTAGTCACTCTTTTGGGACCAACTGGAGATTGGATAATGTGAGTCCGAGGCTGAACAACTGTCAAATGAGCACAGATTAACAGGACCTCTTCCCCAAATCATAAGACCCATCGCTGTTAAGGTGACATGTGAAAGCTGGCAGATGTGAGTGTCCTTTGGAGGAAGCTCACACAGACAATGCAGTCTGAAAGCAGCTACCGGTCATTGCAAATAGGATTCGGGAGAAGTCACATCTAACGCAGTTAGGGAGATCCAAGAGCTTTGGTAACAAGAACTTCAGCCTGTACGATGTCATTGTGGTGAGGAGTCTAAACTTCCCTTAAGAGTGGGCTAAGCACCATAACCCAATAAACTCAGCTTGCCGGCAGTGCACTGGTGTGAGCGGCGAGGAGGTCTGCATCCCCTCTAGCAGCTGAGTTGGTAGGTTGAAATATTTCACACCCAATGGCGGGAACGTTCCAGTAAAGCTGAGCTGTTCTCAACTCTTCCCCGGTCTAGTTTTTCCAGTGTCAGGACCCAGCCATAATCTAGGCTCTGGTTTCTTGGCTTGAGCCCAAGCAAGCAACATTTGTTAAAGAAAACCTTTATTGATTAACACATTGGTCACAGGTACAATCATAACAAGCCATCATCATACAGTAGAGCGTCTACTGAATGTAGAGTCTTACTCCACACAACTCTTCACCTGACTTAAATTGACCCATAAGGCTATTGCTTTACATAGGCTGCACCCTACAATTTTCAAGATGTTTTCCCCTGTAAGCACATAGATTTCCCGCCACGAAGCATTTTGTAAGCTCTGTATCATTCAATGACTGGAGCAGGTTTTTTCCATTTTCTTCTGATAAGTCAGATAACTGCTGGTGGCACATTTTCATGTTTACATCTAGTGGACAGAAAACTCGCTACCCAGAGGTATTCCAAGGAGGGTCCCATTTGGAGCAATGTTAGAGCATCAAGAGATAAAGAGGTCACCCTATTTCTGTAGTGAGCAGCGCAATGGTCTTCCAGTCCATTCACAAG